AATGATGAGAGGCCGGGCGCGGTGGCTCAAGCCTGTAATCCCAGCACTTTGGGAGGCCAAGACGGGCGGATCATGAGGTCAGGAGATTGAGACCATCCTGGCTAACACTGTGAAACCCCGTCTCTACTAAGAAAATACAAAAAAGTAGCCGGGCGAGGTGGCGGGAGCCTGTAGTCCCAGCTACTCAGGAGGCTGAGGCAGGAGAATGGCGTAAACCTGGGAGGCGGAGCTTGCAGTGAGCTGAGATCCGGCCACTGCACTCCAGCCTGGGTGACAGAGCGCCTCAAAAAAAAAAAAAAAAAAAAGAGAGTCTGACATTTGCAGTAACATAAATGGACCTGAAAGTCTTTAGGTTAAGTGAAATAAGGCACAGAAAGACAAATGTCACATGTTCTCACTTATTTGTGGGTGCTAAAATTCGAAACAATTGATGTCATAGAGATAGAGAATGTAAGGATGGTTACCAGAGGCTGGGAAGGGCAGTAGGGGAACGGGATTAGTGGGGATGTGAAATGGGTACAAAAAATTGTTAGAAAGAATGAGTAAGACAGTATTTGATAGCATAACAGGGTGATCATAGTCAAAAATATACATTTTATAAAAATTAAAATAGTATAATTGGATTGTTATAATATAAGCTATAAATGCTTGAGGGGATGGATACCCTGTTTTTAATTACATATTACTCATTGCATGCCTGTATCAAAGTATGTCTTGTACCCCCATAAATATATACACCAACTATGTACCCACAAAAATAAAAATTAAAATTAAAACCAAAAGGGAGGAGAGTATAATGAGGCATGCGTGACCCATGGCTTGAACTAGCTTTTCAGGTTAACTTTGAAATGTCCTTATCCAAGAAGAGGGGTCCATTTAGTCAATAGGGGCTTAGAAATTAATTTTAATTTATAAGTGGAAAAAAGAAGGATTTTTAATCCTGAGCTATAGCTCTCAATCAATCCCTGCAGGGAGCCCTGATCTTTACTCTGGAGATAAACACTAGTTTTCTTTTCCACAGAATAACACCATATTTCAAAATGAGGGGAAACATCTTGAAACTAAGAGGTACAGCCTTATTAAATTTGATTTGGTTTCCATTGTAATTAATCACGTGTGTTCCAGAGTTTGTCTTCCGTCTTCTCCTTTAGGCCTATGATCTGTTCAACTTGCTCAGCTCCCTGCTCAACAGCAAGAAATCAGTTAGAATTATTTAAAAACCTCATTGTGCCTGGGAGCGGTGGCTCGTGCCTGTAATCCCAGCAATTTGGGAGGCCAAGGTGGGCAGATCACTTGTTGTCAGGGGTTTGAGACCATCCTGGCCAACAGAGTGAAACCCCACTTGATAGGTGTCATGTCCCTGGTTGCAGGCTGCCACCCTGTTAGCATGTGCTCTAGCCACTCCCATAATACACTGCTTATGTACCACGCAGCAGGTGAGCATAAATATATGCAAATCTTGCCTGGTCAGATCATACGTCAAGGTTAGCCTCTCAAATTTGTCTATGAATTTTCCTGGAACCTCTGAAAACTGTTTTAGTTTTTCCTTGCATACGACTAATTCAGACATAGAAAGGGGTACGTATACCTATATAGTGTCCCTATTATCATCTGTCACTTCCCAGAGAGGGCAGACATTCAACTTTGCCAGCTGATAAGAGGCCCCACTGCATGTTGTTCTGGTGAAGCTCAGGTGTTCTCCTCAGTTTGGGTCATCTAAAAGCCTGCACAGTGACAATGGCCCATCTTTCACGGCAGGAATATCCCAACACCTATCCTTAGCTTGAAGAATCCAATATTACCTTCACTCTGCGTGGAGACTGTGGTCCTCTGGAAAGGTGAAAGGGCTAATCCCACTCTAAAGAAGACTCTAGCCAATCAATAGAAAAAGAGGGAATGCTCCCTAACTCATTTTATGAGGCCAACATCATCCTGATACTAAAGCCTGGCAGAGACACAAAAAAAGAGAATTTTAGACCAATATCCCTGATGAACAT